GTTTTTCTCTGGTACCGGGAACCGAACTCACGACCTTGCGCTTGCCAGGCAGGCGCTTTTGCCGCTGAGCTAAATCCCCAGCCCTTTCCTCCTTCTTTTTGTGAACATTTTCTACTTCCCTTGGTTTTAGTTCTGAGCTTTATAATTTTCTCTTATTTTAGATTTAGTGTGTCTTCCCCAGCTGTGCAAAAGTCGATGCTGCTATTTTAAGCCATCTTATTTTCTGGTAATGGTGTTTAGTGTTGTAAAATTTTCCCTTAGTATGATGTCCAGACTTTAGTGCATCCCACATGTACTGATTTTTTATGTTTTTATCTCGATTTCTGTTCTGATCTGAACATCCCTTAAAAATCTCTCGATGAAATTTTTAACTACACGATATTAAGCACTGGAATGTTTAAGGGGTGATACACGCTGCCACTGTGGGGGAAGGTGAGTCACCGAGGGAGCGGGCTCCCGACACAGACGGTTGGGCCTGTACTTCTGTCTCGCACATGCTTGCTTGTGCACCCCCTGCGTTGTGACAGCAGCACGAAGGCCCTCAGCACACGTGGCTCTTTGATTTTGGACTTCTCTGCCTTCAGAATGAACCAGAGTTTTATTGTTCATAATTTACTCAGTCTGTAGCGTTTTGTTGTAGTGACAGAAAACAGGTAAGAATATAAAACAAGCTCTAATTCCCATTGTGAGTTTTGTCTGACTGGTGTTCTGGACCCTCTTATCATTAGGAACTACCACCTTCACCTTGAGCTAATATTCTGTGCTCTGAAATCTACTTTCATTTTAACATAGTTACACCAGCTTCCACTTCTCCATTTTCTTGCTTTCAACCTATTTGCATATTTGTAAATGAAATGCTTCTCTTATCCTCTTTATCAGCGTGAAGGGCTTTTCTGTTTTCGCCAATCCCTGCCTTTTAATTGGGGCATTTGTGAGTACTGACACACACAGGTACGATTTACAATCTGTTTCACCTGTTCACTGTTCAGTCCCCTCTGTCTTGTCACCTTCTGCTTTCATTGAAGTTTTGGCTGTTCAATTTAACCTACTTTGTTGGCTAGTAATGACTATTTTAGTGCTTGACTCAGGATTTATAGTACACATCTGTAGCTTTAATAGTGTACCTTCAAGTGATACTCTATTACTTCATGTACAGAATAAGAACTCTGAAACAGTGCATTCCCCCTCTCCCATTCCACTTTTTGTGGTCCTACGGCACACACTTTAGCTTTAGCTATATTATAAAATGCTCCCTACACTACCATTTTTGTTTAAATGGTTGTATTCGTTTGACAGGGCTACTGTAACAAAAACGCAACGAGCTGGCTGGCTTACACAATAGAAATGTATATAATTAATGTCTCACAGCTCTGGAGGCCAGAGGTCCAAGATGAAGACCTAGAGAGTTGCTTCCTTCTGATGGGTGTGAAGAGTCACATGTTCTATGCCTTTCTGCCTGACTTTTAGGAACAAAAAGTCAGTACTGGGTGGGTACTGACCACCCTTGTTGTTCCCTGGCTTGTAAATGCATCCCTCTGATCTGTGCCTTCATCTTCCCATGATGCTCCACCTGGCAGCTTCTTTCTGATTCACGACTTCTTTTTACGAGGACACCACCCCAATGGCTTCATTGTAACCTGACTACCACTGCACAGCACCTGTCTTCAAACGGAGTCTCATACCAGGGGTTAGGATTTTGACATATCTTCTTCATGGGAACACAGGTCAACTTATAACAATGGCCAATTATTTTCTAAAGTGTTATAAGTAACAGAAGAAAAGCTACTATTTTTTACCCAAGCAGGTATCATTTTCAGTACTCTATTTCTTTCATGTGAATCTACAGTTCCATTTGGCTAAAGCACTTCTTCCTCTACTGATGTTCAATTCCTTCAACTTCTTTATAACTGAAAAAAAACTTAATTGTATCTGAATTTTTGAAATTTTCACTGGGTATGAAACTTGGGGTGATAAAATTTTTTTCTCTCAGTGCTTTAAAATTTTATGGCTACTTATAAGACTTAATCAGCAGTTTTAGAAATTTTATTATGATGTCCTTGGTGTAATTTTTTGTGATTGGGTTTGTTGAACTTTTTTGGATTTGTAGGTTTATGGCTTTCATCAAATTTGGAAAAGTTGTGGCCACTTGTTTATTCAATCTCCTCCCTTTTTGGGAGACTCTACTAATGCTTATATTTGCCTACTGTATTTCATTTTGCATGTTTTCCATTGTCTTATTCAAAATGTATGATAGATTAATCCCATGAAATGTGCATCTCATGTGCTGTAGAAGATGTTTTTCTACAATCTCATGCAGTTTTTGGGTACACATTTGCTGATCAGTATTCAAGTGAGTATGAAGTGGGGGATTTTTTTGCAGGCTTTTGGGATTTCCCTCTGTGCAGCTTTTTCATATTTGGTACTCAGCACTATGAACCTGAGCTGTCTTAACTCCTAAGGCTCTCCGCGGTCCACTCTATCTGCAGAGTTCAGGGGGTCAGGCGGGCTCTGCTTGGGTTCCTCCCAACAGAGCCACATCCGGAAACTCTCGCGAGGTGAGACGCGGGTACAACAAGGAGCGCTATCCTGCACTACCTACTTTGGTTGCTTTAGGTAGGTGTGAAGTGGACACATGTGGCCTCTGTTACTCCATATTGGCTAGAATACTAGGTCTTCTCATTTTGTTTTCAAATTGCTCGCAGGGTTCTGCAACTGCTAAAGTCTGGTTTTAATACTGAATTTACATATAACAGCTCTTTTGCCTTCCCTGATGACTACACAGTTCAAAGTTTACAGCTTTATCTATAAACAAATTTAGCATTTTAAAAATAGTATCTAAACCCAAGCTTCAGAGCAAATGGTTATCATGTCTCCACAGTTCCTAAAGAAACCCCTAAAGTACCTCTTAAAGGAAGAGGGGAGGGAATCCATGCACAAAGCCCCTTGCATTTTACAACTACAGCTCCTGATGTCCTAGGAATTCTCCACAGCGATAAACTAAGAATAAACTAAGAGTAGTTGTCTTACTGCAAAGCAAATATTTGTCTTTAGGAAATAAAGATAATAGTAATAGTTTTAGTTCTTATTCCTTAGTGTTACTCAGACAGATTCACAGTTAAGCTCATCAAAATGAAACATAAAGATTGAGATCAAAGTTGAACCTTCATGCAGAAACTTTTCAATAACAGCAAACATTTCTTCAGCACTCACCACCGAACAGCTATACCACATCGTATGAAATGTGATTCATTATTAATCCTATTTACAGATAAGAAAACTCAGACTAGAAAATGGTGGTGGAGAGATTCAAACCTACTTTCAAAGTAAGACACTATTTTTTTACTGCTTTTATTGGAGAGTAAGGACATAGTATGGGAAAAATTGCTAACCCAAGGAGTTTAGTCCATATTCTCTTTATAACATTACAAATACGAGGTAGGCCGGGGTGTGTGGCTGAGTAGTAAAGTGCTTTTTTAGCATGTGCAAGGCTCTGGGTTTGAGTCTCAGAACTAGAAAATAAAGCATTTCATAATTTTTTTTTAAACATTTGGAGCTATATCAAAAACAAAAACAAAAAACCTTACCTAAAATGGCACCACAACACAGCAAGTTTCAGGAGTAACACACTTAAAAAATAAACCCAACCAAGCAAAGCATAAATACTACAGCTATCTGGAAAGCACTGTAATCTACTCAAGTTTCCTGACAGAAATGATGTTACTGTAACATTGTTTTAGAATATTTAGATAAAAACAAGATATAAAACAAGAAAGACAAACATTGTACTGGTAACACAAATACTGGGTAGCTAAATGCTCAAATACTTCACAGGAGATATATTTAATTTGGAACAGAAATAATCTCTTATCACCTAATACACAGGAAAAATATATGTGCTGTTGCTTCTCTTCTTTCAGGAATATAAAGACAGTGATTTTCCTTTGTAAATATATATGTAAAATATTCATAACTGAAAATGAAATACATACCTCCACAGCAGGTACAATGTCTATGCCAACAGTTAGAAATTCTTCAAATTTCAAAAATGGGTTAAAGCAGCTGCCAACATCAAGTAATCTGATCTTTCCTGAGGCTTGGAGCAACCTAAAAGCAGACATTTCACATTATAAAGAGGTAAACTTAAAGCATAAAAAAATGAAATGTCTGACAATAAAAGAAATCAGAAAGATTACTGATTCTTTAACATTTCAGTTTCTTGATGAGGGCTCCAAAGATGCTTCCACTTACATCTATTTTATCTATTAATTACCATATTGGAAGTTAAAAACACTATTTATAAAACAAATCTACGATATGTTACTATAAATTATATTTTTAAATGAAAAATACTGGAGCTTTAAAAGGATTATAACAAGTGAGGACTTGTTTTTATTTTTGAAGTCTCTTTAACAGCTAGAAAATCAGAGCAGTGAGCTCTATCCAGGTCGGGGGATTCAGCTTGGTGGTAGGGAGTTGCCTAGCGCATGTGAGGCCCTCAGTCTGATCCCCGGCACTGCACAAGAACAGAAAAGAGTGCATTCTAACGTCTCCTTTGCACTTAGGCTGTTGTGGCATCACATGCCGTACACTCTCCGGAAAGCTCTACCGGACACTCAGAAGAGTGCAAGTGAAAGGGCAAATGATACGTCACTGCTGTGAGAATAATTTCCCACCAGCAGAGAGTCCGAGAGGCTCTCACATCCACATGATCAGTTTGGGAGTTATCTTCACAGAGGAAAAAATGCATTCACAAAACGTTCTCAGCAGTCAACGTAACAGTGTCTTTGGAGTCCCCTTTGTCTCAGTGATTTAAGATGACCAGAGAAAACAGCGTCCACAGAGCAGTATTTTTTGAGCGGCGTCTCCGTCTGCTGGCCAGGCTGGGCTTGAACTCACACCCCGCCAGCCTCGGCCTCTTAGGAGCTGTCCTGCCCATCTGCCTGGTAAAAATAGCATTTTTTAAGGTAGGAAATTTCTTACTGTAAGTAAGTTTTTCTCATTTTTTTTTTTATTTTAAAGGGAGTAGTAAAAAAAAAAAGTAACATGCCAACATCACAGACATAAACAAAACAAATCTCATTTTCAAAAGGTCTAGAAAAAAGAGGTAGTGAGTTCATCAGAAAGAAACTACATGTGGATCTATGATAAGGACGAAGGGTTTTGTCAGTCACAGACCCGTAATCCTAATGCTCACACGGTAAAGCAACAATAAAGATACTGCGTCGACTGGACACATAACCCTTTAACTGATGTTGAAATAACTTCAAAATTTTATGAACACACTGAAAAAGTAAAGAGAATGAACACAGTTGGGAGGAAAGAGCACTGCTGTGCCCAGGGAACCTGCGCGGCTTCCCTCTGCCCCTCTGCAGGTGCACTCCGTAGAGGGGGGTTAAACTACAGGCACGACAGTCGCTTCCTGAAAAGATGACACAATCTAAAGATTTTGTTCCTAGAGAACCAATGTAATAAATAGCGGTTACATTTTTAACCAAGAACTGGCAACGTCCCAACATTTTATAGAAATAACCACAGCGACCGATTCATTTTGACCAACTATAAACTCCCTCAATAGTACAAACACTGTATACTACCGCAAACATAAAATGAACCGATTAAAGAAGGTTTTTGCCAGTAAGATATAATTTTATTGAAGAACTTATCTGAAGAGGTTATGAAGGTAAAAGAGCATTTCTCTAAAATTAATTTTAATTTTAATTAAATTTCAATTTTAATTTCACCACCGTGTGCCTTGATTTTCTATGTAAAAAAACTAATTCTGGCTAGGATATCCACGCAGGTGTGAGATTTTGCACAATGGCTAGAAACTCCCCATGAAAACAACTGCTCTGGAACTCAAGACATATTTTCTCTCCTGCAGCCAATCTGACAGGAGGTTATTATCTGTAAAGTTGAACTACATTTGGTGGTTGTTAAAATATCACAATATAATCATCCCGTAGGAGGAAGAGGCCAGTGAACTGTCGTGGCAAGATGCTAAATCCAAGAAAAAGATGCAATAGACAGGGGCCAGAGAGATGGTTGGCATATAGCTGGCACTGCTGTTATATTATATGTAAGTTCTTTTTTTTCCCCCCCGGTACCAGGAATCAAAATCACGACCTCGTGCTTGCAGGCAGGCGCTGTGCCGTTGAGCTAAATCCCCAACCCCTGTAATACTATATATATGGCAACATCATTATTCAAAGCCAACGTAGGGATCTGAAATCAGAAAAACAAATCAAACCTGATTCTATCCCTCACATGTAATGGTACCCATATAAGTTTTTTTCAGGATTAAAAGAGGTAACAAACTGGATACTTGATCCAATGCCTGGTACTTGTAGGTATTCGCAGCTATTGTTATCATGTTATGGACGAAATCCTTTGTGGCTCATCCACTAATGATCTTCCTGATCATAGTAAAAACAGAATTTGGTTCACACTAAATTTGATAATAGATTTTAGTAAACCTGAGTAGCAAATTTGTGATAGTCTTTTCAAAAGGCTTTCAAATTTTCTATCTAATGAAGTATTCAAAATTATCTAAGTTAATTCAACAGTATGGTGCTAACACCAATAACTTAACAGTATCACCAGGTTAGCTTCGTAATTTAACAGTTCTTATTTACTTCCTTACTCCCTTTTAAACTTTGGTTCAGCTTCGTTTATTTGCACAGAACACAGATACACAGTGTAAAAAACAGTCACTTAGCAAACATCCATGTAATTACCACCCAGGTCAAGAAATAAAATACTGCCCGTGTCCTAGACTCTCGCTGATGACACTCCGTAGCCCTTTCATAATGGTACCCATTAACTCGATTTTAGTGATAATCTTTCCCTTGACACCCTTTTATAGTTGCAACTACCTAGGACAGAACAGCTAAACAATACAGTTTGATTTTATAGGACATGTTTGATTTTGTGACTGACTTCTTGCACTATTACGTTCGTGAGATGTCTGTGCTTCTATAATTAACTGGTGTTGCTATACAGTACTATCCTCCTTCACACATCCCACTGGGACTTTGACTAGTACGTTACTAAACCTACAGATGCTTTGTGGAGAAATTTAACCTTTACAGTATTGAGTTTTTAAATCCAAGGATATAGGGTAGTCGCCCACGTATTTAGCTTAACTGTCTGCAAATAGTTTTCAGTCTCATATAGTTATTGTTGTGTACACATTCCTTGGTATTTCGTAGTTTTTCAAATTATCATTATCTTTTCGATTTCAGTTTTTATTGTTAGGCGCAGAAATGCAATTGTTTTTTGTATTCTGATTTTTATAGCTGGTAACTTTACTAAGTAAGTTCCTTTATCTCAATTGCTTATCATTGCTGGTACTCTAAAGAGAGACACACCGGTGCACGAGCCGTGAAAACTGACGTCTGGATCCCTTCTTTTCCTTTCTATCCACCCACCCACCTAATTTCTGCTTCACTCTCTGCCAAGGGCTTTTCCTAAAATGCTAAGGACAAGAAGTGCGCAAGTGGGCACTGCAGGAGCAATTTCAGAAAGCACATCCCGGGTGCTTCGACGTTAAATACAACGACTGCCACGGGTGTGCACACAGTACTGCACTCCATAAAGATGAGGTATTTCCTCTGATGCTTAACTAGGGTTTTCTCTTTGCTTGTTTAATGTATATCAGTGTTCAATTTTATTAAATCCATTCTATGCTTTTATTGAAATGGGACTTTTCCTGAATCTGTTTATATTGAGTATGTTCAAAAATTTTAAAGCATTAAATCAAACTTGTATTGTTGGGAAGGAGCTTCCTTTGTTTTGTATATCACTTCTTTCACAATTTGAAGGACTTGTTCTGTATGTGTGTATATGCAGTCGACTCTTGCTACTTGTGGTAGTTCTGTGCTAAAGTTACTTCAAAAGCTGAAAATCATGGTTCCCAGAATAAACACAGGGTGAGGCTCCGGTCACAACATTTTCATCAACATCTCAACACTTATCCTGGGTTTATGTGTATTCTTCTGCTTAAAGGCATCTTATTTAATACATACTGTTGACCCACCAACAGCGAACGCACGGTCAGTGGCACTGTATCTTACACCTGGAGCAAACACTAGACTTCAACGCTGTACTTGGGGCCATTTTAAAAACAACATTGCCAATAAAAAGAGCAAAAATGCAAAAGCGCGATCGACAGCAAATGCAAAGTGAAATACTGTCAGATTGGCTTCCGTTTTCAGCACATCTGCTCTGCCTGTCTTCATTTACATACTGCAACATGTCAGAACACACGGGACCGCAAAGCTTGGCTACACGTTCCTTTGGCTATGCTGCCTCCAAGTTTTAATACTTCTTTGAGCTGTTTATTACACGCCAGGGAACTTCCACTTTTAGCTGTTTAGATAAATATATGCTGAGCATCTTTAAATTGCATTACTGAGGGCTGGGGGTGCAGCCCGGCGGTACAGCACTTGTCTAGCATGAGCGAGACCCAGGGTTTTATCCTTAGCACAGCAAAAACCAAACCAAACAAGCAGACTGCATTATTTAAAAGTTTTATGACTTAAAACTCTTTTACGACTTCACAATCTCTGTAACTTCGTTTGACAACTTTTTACTTTACACCATGGAAAAACTTTAAGTGCAAGCCTTGGTATACATGAAGATATATAAGCTCTCCCAATTATAACTTTTCACTGAAATTTCCTACCCTGTTTTTAATTCAATAATGTCTTCTGTTCTCTTTTCCAAAACAGTTGTAGTACAAGACCACATTGCTTTATTTTCCCCACCTCAGTTCCCACCCTGCTGGTTAAACAATTTGATAAGGAAATGCAGGATTTTATTTCTTACATACGTCTTGGTCTGGCATGCTGCCAGTGTCAACAACAGCATTCAAATTAATCAAGACAAGTTAAGTCACACTGTAAACTCCAAGTGAAATTTTTTGCTTATTACATAGCAAAGCTTGGCAGTATTTATCCAAGCATGCGGTCTGAAACAGCGGCATTTTCAGTGTGTTCCACAGCGCTGGGGAAGCGTTCTCTTGAGTCTGTGTAAGAGCCAACAAAGGCAGACGTGGGAACGCTGGGAGGCTCCAAACACCCTTCGACCAGACAGCAACAGAAAGC